TTCTTTCTCTATCTTGCTTATGAAGTTTCTCATGAACTGATACCTGCGCATAATGCCAGGTCACTGCCATACCAGATTAGATATTAACTATTTCGTCTGATCCCCTGGGGATCCCCAGGGGATCACCCCACATTTTCAAAGTCATTTATCTTCCTGGAAAATCAATGAAAACGCTGCAAAATTGTATTGAAGATATATGCGATACCGCTGAGCATGTTTGCGACAGAAGAAATGGAATCTAAAGATTTTGATTTTTTCGATAATCCCTGGCTCGCGAGCAGCAGTTCATCTTAGATTTTGATATCTTGAGATTTCACTCATTTCTACCATAAACATGTTTAACAGTGCTGCAGTATATCCTTTGTACAATTTAGCATTTTCATTGAGTTTTCAGGAAGATCCTCTGGGGATCCCCAGGGGACCAGACGAAATAGTGAATATCTAATCTTGTATAACAGTAACCTGGCATCCATTATGCGCAGGTATCGAAGAAAGATATATACTAGCGAGTTATGACGCTTCCCATCTCAGATCCCCTCTCCTCCCCAGCGCGGATGTACGTGCATACGGGCTTAAGAAAATATTAAATCAAGAGATGTAATGACAAAACAAGGCTTTTCCACAAAAACCCGAGCGTTCATATGTCAAAAGTTTTGGGTCCTAATCAGATCCTAATCAGTAAGCAACTTTGACGTTTTTATTGCTCGTTCGCAATTTGTTTGCGTTAAAAACAGCTATGGAAATGGTATTCTTCCATGAAGGCGAAAGCTTCATTAAAGCCTCATATTAGGTGAGTTATTAATGTGACAGAAAAGGGGAGGTGGTAGCGGGGTGGGAAAACGATTTTTAAGAAAGTTTAAAGGCGTAAGAGCTCTGTACTTCTTGCCCATTAATCCTTAAGGGGCGGTATCTATCAACTTCCCAATCAACGCTATTCTACAAAAAGAGTACCCGGTTGGGCAGTAGGCTTCGTTTGTGATGGAAAAAAGGCGTCTAATCGTGACCGGAAAACTGAAGCCTTTCCGAGAAAAAATCCCGAAGTTTCCTTTTTGAGTCCTGTTTAGGCGCAACATCCCGCATACAGTAGCAGAGGCGATACCAGAAGATTTTTCGTGCCGTAAATTGAGGAGTACGCGCCGCACGGCTAATGCTTGTACCAGTAAAAAAGGGGGCTCAACAAACCAAAAATTTATCTTTGGAGAACGTCAACAAAATAAAATCACTGAGTTGGCTCTTCTTTGACTATTTATACTCGTCCGCTTATTTTCTTGCCCTCCACACCCCCCCCCCTCCCCGTCTGTCATTGCTTTGAAGTCATGAACTAATCAATATCAAACACATTTTTTATTTTAACTACTGTAGTTTTACTCTAATCAACCGTTACACAATGCATATCGAAATTTATTCTTTCAGTTTTCAGGCAGTCGCAATACCACAGACGCATCAGACATTTTGGCCATGCTGGCCACTATACCCATGCGGCGGTTACGGTGGTTATAGCTACGGTGGTTACGGTTACGGTGGTTATGCTTACCCAGCGTACCAATACACCTACCCTGTAGCCAGCTATTATCAAACAGCTCCAATTGTCATCCAGTCACCGCCGGTCTATCAGACTGTCGTTCGTCCAGTCGTAAGAGTTCAGTCACCTGTGTACGTTGAAGAAGAACCTCAAATTGTTCGCCCAGTAGTAGCAGTACCTGTTCGATATACAAAATATGTCTATGTACCATTGAAAAAATCGTAATTTTCAAATGTGCCAATAAATCATAAAAAAATCATTGCTGTACAGTTTGCAGGAAAATTTATTCAATAATTGATGCTGGAAATAATTCCATAGCAACTTGGAATTCGCTGGAATGTCTCATCGATCCAGACATGATTCAGTGACATCCAGACTTTCAATTTATCATAAATTTCCAGGTATATTTTTCATAGTCTAGAAGTCTCTGTGTCTTTGTGCGTATGTTAGAGTTGTGGAATTTGGGCATCTTTTCTTTGCAGAATTAATGCCATTTTGACTTTGTAGCTGCTCTAGAGCAAGGTGCAATTGCACTTTTATAGGAATTATTACCGTAGAAATTTCGCTTTTCAGAAATTTAACTTTTTTCACGAAAACATGTCTTCTTTTTATAAACATGAAATTATTTAAATGTGTAAAGTTGTATAAAGCCACATTGAAATGAAATGACATTTGCGATTAAAAAGTTTTGCGTTCGATTTTCCACTCGGCACTGCTGAATAGGCTAAAAATGAAAGCAAAAGAAAACGAATAGCTAACAACTATTTCAGGTACAAACTGCCGACCATGAAATTCCAAAACTTTTAGAAAATGCATCGGAAATATTGATTATGACCGAATTTCTCATCGCTTACTAAGTTTCCGACGAGAAAAATACGCTTATGTTCAAGTCGTTCAATCTCAAGAATAAGGTTTTCTTCAATCGAATTTATTTCACTAATTACTGAACTTATGATAGTTGCCTTTCCATTTATCCACTACATAGAGTAGATACTGACAAATTTCTGTTACACCTTTATATTTGTTTGAGATTTCAATCACGGATTCTTGAAGAAAAAAACTTCAAAAATTATTTACTTTCTATATCCACTTTCTGTATGACGCACGTATGTATAGTCGAATCGTTCCATATGATCATGTGTGTAGTGCACACAACGTCCATCTTTGGCGTTTCCATCCCTAATTCGCAGTCGCAAGAATGCAAGAGATTGATCGTTGTCATTGCTTAAATAACTTTATGGGAAGTGGTACATAGAAAGGAAAGAAATATGATGAAAACATCAAAAACGCTCAAATAGAGGGTGTCTCCTCCCATTTTCCAGAATGGGAACGCCAAAAGTGGACAGTGCGTGCAATGACACACATAATCATATGAAATGATTGGACTGTAAGAAGATTTCAGAAATGTTGGGCTTTTACCGCTCGTTTCTGACACGCTTTAGTCATTAGACTGTGCCATAAAAGAGATAAACACTCTAGAAATTGTGGAGAGAAAAAGCTCAATAAGAGACAGAAAAATTCGAAAAAAGCAAGAATTTCAGTATGTTTACGAAAATGTGGTAAATTTGCTAGTTATTTGTGCATCCATCAGATGGATGACCCTATCAATCGCTAAGTATGCAAATGCGAAATTCTCAGAAGCTTCTTGAACTTTTTTAAAAGTGAAAAAAATAGTAATAAAAGTTATGCACCACCTTATAGATGATTATTTTAGCTATGCATAAGTTATGTATCTACCCGGTAGAAAATGCTTTCTCCATATGAAAATTTTTCGAAGGTCGGTATAGTCATTTGTATGAAAACTATGCTTTTGGTTTATTCTTCCAACGAGCAAAATGTTCTGTGAAATTTTTGTGCACAGAAATTGACCAAAAATCAGAAACTCATTTCCGCTGGAAAGCAATTATTTGTTTCGTTTACTGGATGCTTCACGAGCAAAAAATGACTTTTTATTTCAAAGAATTTGAACAAAATATTATCTATAAATTTATCAAGAATCTCCGGTTTAAGAACTACAAATCCATAAATAGCTACCTCCTTCCTCCGAATGAGATTTCACACCATATATCCCAAAGCTGACTATATGAAAGCAGTTTGGCATAAGATTACGGAACTAGATTGACAGCTGGTGTAGCGATTTGTAAACGTGAAAAGTCGCCGAGCAAATCCTTTGAGGATTCACTTCACAATACTAAAGTGAACAGATAATCCCATTCACACCTCATCGAGTCTTGTCCGGTTTTTCAGCATAGTATAAATCAAGTGATTTCGAAAGAACGATCAGCACACTTTTTCTGCTTTATATTATATGTCACATTCATTCTGCATTTGATCACCCAGTTCCTACTTTTTGTAGACTCCCAAATATAATACATAATTTACTATGAATAATTTACAAATTATACAAAATAGAAATTCCCTCCAGAAATGTGTACCTCAAATCTTCTATTTCAAGAATTTATTTTTAAATCACAAATTGCTGTTTTCCTAAAAAAAAACTATTTGGAAATAATTATGTCTCGCCATTGCTATTATGAGCGAGCAGTTCTGAAAATCACAGATTGTTGCCTAACTAGTAGTTTTGAAGTTTTATTGGTCAAAGATCAAGTCGATTCCCCTGAAAAATCCGAATAAAAATTTGTCCAAACCTCATAAAATATGGACGGAAAAATTGGATGCGGAGTAAGAGGATTTTTTGTTGGTTAAAATTATTGTGAAATGGGAGGCAAAGGAAAAAATCTTAAAAATCGAAACTTTTTTGAATGTTTAAGTAAGAAAGTGCCACCGATGGGCGACATGGAATACATGCATTTTACTTTACAGAATTTGTTTACAAGACAAGGGACATTTTCAGATTTGTGTGCTCTAAAATTCCTAGTGCATGGTACCATTTTCAGCTTACAGTTTAATAAAGCTGGTAAATCTTGAGAACGATGAACAGAACATAAAATACAGATTCAAAAACTATACCCACGCAATACTTTCTTTTTTATACAAAACTTCGACAGCTGAGAGAAAAATCGGATCAATCATAAGTCTGAAAATCAATAATCCCTCACAATTTTGACAAATTCTTTGGTTTGTTTCAAAAAAATAATGCCTTTCTACCGTCAAATCGCCAAAAAATCGCGATGGCGTTCTGTGGAGATCAAGTCGTTACTTTCACGCCGGTTTATTTCATCAATCGCTACAAAATCTGAAAGGTCAATTGAATGAGACCAGGGCTCGGCACGAGCTGGCACCAGGGAATTTTGAAAACGAAACCCCCTTTGCTTTTTGCCCCAAAAACGATATCCAGCTTGCCCCGTGCCAGCTGGTGCCAGGCCCTGAATGAGACAGTTTCTTCTATTTTTGCAAGACATGAACGAAAACATTTTATTTTTTACGCAATATTCGCGTTAACAGCCTGCGCTTCCGGGTTCTGTATTCAAACGTCGAATCATCAAAATACACATATTATCCATATCATTATTTCAGCATGTTAGTGATCCTGTTATCGGCTCTGGTTTCGACCACACTGGCGGCAGAATACGCTAATCCCAGCCTGGTGGCACCAGCCCCAGCAGCTTACGGATCACCGTATGCGTCGAACTCGGTGATTGTGCCACAGCCAAGCGTCCAGTTTCAAAGCTACCCAAGCCATGTTGCTCAACATCCGGTAGCCCTACCCGTACAGACTACCCAGGCAGTACAGAACGCTTACCCTTACGGTTATGGAATGTTTGGCGCGTTGCCAACCGTGCAGCAGAATCCCTACCAGATGTACCAACATCAAACAACAGTAAAGGAAGCACTGCCCACCACTAATCTTGCTTCGATGTATGTGAACTACCCTCAGACTATGGAAACGGTAGGGGGTACGGTAGGCACCAGTTCACTGAGACAATCTCAGCAAACATCTATCCCGGCATCATCTGTATCATCCGGGTCATCTTACTTCTCCTTGCCGGCTTCCACCACCTCCACAGAATACGTAGCTCCAGCGACAGCAAGTGCTACCATAAAAGGTACCGTATCCTTCGTACCATAATCTTGCCAAGAATTTTCAAACATTCCAGAAATAGGTGCTGTCCACACTCTTCCCACCCAAGTCGCTGCCACTACCGTAACCGACCCATGGGCAGCATTGAGTGGTGTGACCACGAAGAAGACAGTGGAAGTGAAGAAAAATGATGGAGGAGGATCATCAACGTTTTGATTTGTAGCTGGATTATGGTAGTTAGTGGACACAATAAACATAGCATAGTCATGCTTAGAATGTAAAAAAGTCTCTTCAAAAAGTTTATAAAAAAAGTCTGGGTGCCGGAAAAGTAAAAATGAGTTTTAACGTACTTCGAGGTCAAAAATAGCTTTAAAACGAGCTAAAGTGCTTCCTTGATACTTTTGTATAAACCTTTCCACCGAGGATGGTCCCCCTCCTCCCCCTCCTCCGCGAAAGATGGGCAACCGGATTTTTTGAAGTCAGCCACCTGAGTTATAAGATTCTGTCTCACTAGTTAGTGATTAAAATGCTTAGTTTTTTAAGCATTTTGAGGACTTTGTAACAAAATTTGCGGGGGCGTGGCTACCGCGACAAGTTTTTACTGTTCTGGGCCCACCAGATTTGATAAGCAAAATTTTAACCAGGCAAATTCCGATAGGTGCGGATAACGCTATGCCTCTTCACTCAAGAAAGTTTTGGCTCCCCCCCCCCCCCCAGGCCCCAAAAAAAAAAAGAATTTTCGGACTGCCACTGATTTTTCCTTGCAGAATCTGAGGAAGCATCAAAAGACGAAGATTTTAAGGTTTAAAAAACTTACACGTAGAAGATCATTTTTTAATGCTCAAGCCATTAAAAACAGCCTTTCAAATTATAATCGGAGCAATTTTTTTCTATACAAAGTACCAGTTTATCAAGATATACGATGATACACGGAACCAAAGTATCTGCAATTTTACAATGCTTCTTATCAATGATCCGGATCTACAGAGATTCGCTATTAAAACTGAAAAGACGAATCATCTTTGATGACTACTGTACGAGTACTGTAGCGACGATCAAACACTGATTGCAGAATCCAATAAAGTCGTCGTGAACAGTACAAACTGTAGCTTTTGAATAGCACCACAAAGATGATGAAAATCACCAGCACCTGGAAGAAAAGGAAATGGTGATATAGGAAATGATCAGTGGAAATTTAAAATTTTACATTATCAATCTTGTCGCCTCGAATCATTTGTACAAATAGCACCACTAGATAAGCAGAAGACATGAGCAGATCTATCACTGCAGTAAAAATGTAGGGTAGAAGGGCTCGATATCGAGTTGTTTGTATAGCGATCTGCAACAAAATGATCTGATTGGATATGATTAATATAGGATTTTTTATTTTACAAACAACCATATTAGAAACTTTGTTATCAGGTGATTAAGGAATTGAACAAAAAACTCAGCTTTATGCTCCAACCGAGACCACTACGTTGCACCGTAATCGAGGGCACTGATTGGTCCGTTGAAAAAATACTGTACGGGTTAGAGTTCAGCGCTGATTTCCTCCCTCACAAATCTCCTTATCACAAATCGCTTTGTGAATGTTGCTTCGACAATAATTTACCCACCCTCCTCCTCCCCCCCCCCCCCTCTTCTTCCCTACCCAAACAGTCGAGACGCTTAGGAATTCAGTTCTACCTGGAGATTCAGCTTCATGCCCCAATCGCTAAGTTCCTTGAGTTCATTCAGCCAAGCAAATGCTCATGATTTATAGGAAAACAACTTGAGTTTCGGTTTTCCTATAAGTAATAGCCAAAAACTTACCAAAGCGATGAGATCGATGAAGAGATGAATTATTATCCAAGCCAGTAGGGCTCCATTATTGGTACATATTCGTCGCTGTGCAATTACAGAATGTCGTTCACCGAGGCCAAAGACAGAAACATTGTAGGACTGACATCGCATTAGCGGATGCTCTACATCTGTAATGATTTCAAATTTGTAGAATTAGTAACTTATAATTAGCTCCAACATTTTTCGGGTTTTCGTATTTAGCTCTGACTTATTTAGGTTTTCGTCCTTTTATTTCTGTTCTGATTTTACAGTTGTTCATTTACCAGATAGAAGAATGTGTTGGGTTTTTTCACTGTTACGTTTTTGCATGTGAAAAACGACATAACATTTAGGGTCAGAAATTTTCTTTGCATCTTACCTGCAAATAATAGATTGTCAAACACTAATAGTAAACGGTTACTTTATTGTGAAAAAGTAATCGTCTTATGATGATACATAGTTATTTCAATTTCGGCCCTTCACAACCGTGAGTTGACTTTAACTTGAATTGTGGAATTATGTAATTCTTCGGATGAAAATAGATGACATTTGCGAAGATTTTCTATGATACTTTTAAGGAGAAAATTTCAGACAGTCTGGTTTAGAGAACATAGCTTTGTAGGTTTTTATAGTTTGTTCAAATTGGCCATATTTCGAGAAAAATGCGGTTACTGCATACTTGACTCAATATTTACGAAAAAAGATTAATTTATAGAATGCAAATTCAATAATTTGAGTCAACAATCCGATTTTTACCAAGTGTTTTAGCCCATTTTCCTTTCAAGAGCCCATTTTCATAAGCTCAGTTTTTTGCAATTTCTATGGCAGTGAAGAGCTATCGATAGGACAGCCCACAGTTATTTATCGTAACAAAAAACGATAAATTGTTCGAAATGTTAATCCATTTTCAAAACGCTTTACAGACTGTCATTTTCAGATTGTTTATGCAGAAGATGAGAAGATGAGAAGTTCATGACGCAGCTGTGATTTTTTTATTCTGGAGTGCTAGCGGCAAAGCGACCATGAATCTATTCAAATAAGCTGAGATTAAACAACCAGCGTACATTACTTAAAAATCGCTCTGGCGCAAAGGATAAACGATCATAGCAGATGATTATAAAAGTATTTTGAGTTCTGACGTAACGCAGACAGTGTGGGTGAATGCCTTTGCTCCAATCAACTAGAAATTGCGGAGAAATGGATTTTGAGGTTAGCTTAGGGGTTCAAGGACTTACTGGTAAGATACGCAATGATTATAGTCGCTAGTTCGGCTGAGCACATCATGACGACAGCGACCGTGACGCTGCAGCAAAATGTTTTCTCCTCGAAGGTCATTTTCGCTGGAATTAATTTGGATTTTTTATCACAAATATGCAACATTCGATGCACGAATTATCGCAGGTGTTTCAACTCTTAGAAAAAAAATTAGATATATAGAAGTAAAGCCAAGTCTGACAAAGAAAAGAGGAAGTAATATGGATGAGGAGAGGAATTTTGTCTTGATAATATCATAACTTTTGCTTGCATCATCATAAATAAAGGTTATTCTAAAAAATGCGCCTATTGTTTGCTTGGCAATAGTCCTCTCTTGTCATGAAGTCTTTGAAGGCTTCAGTTTTCACTTTGTAGAGCTGGCTTCAACTTAGATTTACAGTATAAATCGAATTTTTGATCACTTTTCATTACTGTAGAATTACGGTAGGAATATCAAAAATACAGCGCCATAGTGAGATAAGCCTCTGATAAGAAAAATTTTAACAATTACGGAAATTTGTGTACCAGGATTTCCGCGCATTCTCATTTCGTTACAGAATTTTTATATCAAATTTTGAGCTTCATCACTGGTGTACCCTAAGTACTTCATTTAGCCTATTACAAAATTTTTTGGCTTGCTCGGTGTTTTTTTAAATTTATTTATCTTTACTTCTATCTTCTATCTACTTTTATCTTTATAAAATGCGACTCTTAATGGCTCAAAATTCACTTCAGTTTTATCGTAATTCTTTAGTGAAGATAAAGAATCGGCGATTCGCTTTGAGTGAAACTAAGCTGAAGCCAGCTTTTCACAATGGTGCGTAAAGCCTTCTTCGAATACATACTTCATGACAAGAGAGTTTAACATCCAAACAGTAGGCAAATTTTTCTGGGACAGCCTATATCAGTATAGTCTACCCAGAAGATAAGCAGTCACTTATATGATTAGCTAGATAAAAAAGTGGCGAGAACTTTTGAAAAGAAAGAACTTACTTCGAAATGAATGGCGGAATGAAGGTCTTTTTGGAATGAAGCTCGGCAAAGTCAAAGAACATATGCTCAGCTTAGATATAAGTCTCTTCCTTGGCAAAAAGCGCATATGATAGAATGTAATATGTTTCCGAATGGCTAGCGAAGCTGTGCGAGCTTTTCCCACGTTGTCTTGAGGAGAATACCAGCTGTTCTTCTTATCCTTTTCTCGCCTACTACAATTTTGCTACTTCTTATTGGTAGCTATAGCATTTGCGAAAAAACTCGAACTTCGCATCACCCGCACCCAGTAAAATATCAAATTTATTACGCCAATGTACTCTTATCAAGCTTGCAGAAAGCTTCATTTTTCTATTTTCAAAATATAAAGCACAGTGTTCCCATCGAGATTGAGTAGCAAATTTTCACAATGGTCTACTTGAGTTATAAAAATGTGCTAGCGACTTGTTACCAATATGTGATCAGAATATTTTATAATTTCTGGCATTAAGATGTAACAATGCAAAGACATTTCTTGGACGTCCTTGGATCCCTTTCATTATGTTGGATAATAAGCTCTTCAAAACTCCTGAAAGCAAGCCAAAAAAAATTTGGAGGATGCCTAGTCTTTCCGAAGAAATTTTGCATTTCGCTTAGCGTCCCCAATCCTTCCCGAAAATCTGCTCACTTGAGCTGCTAATTCCTTTACCTTGTATTGTACTTTCAAAATCACCTGGTCAGTATGAAATAAGTGGTTAAGGTTCTAAGATCAGAAACTTCTAGAGCTTGTGAAAAATTTCTTGACGTAAAGGTGTAGCTTGTATCAAAATTAGAATCCATGAATCATAAAGAAACGGCTAGCAAGATGCACTTCTATTGTCAAAACAGGATTTGAAAGTTACCAAAATCTTATAGAACATAAAAAATTCAGGAAATATTGAGGCTTTTCACATTATCATATGGGCAGCATTCATTTACGAATCGTGCAAAAATTGTTTCTGCTACTGTTGCAAATATAATTTTTCCATCTTGCGTGAGTGACATTCTACATATAACCTGAGATAAAGCAGCAAGAAACGAATTGGCATGTATGAAAGTGCAAATGTTGATTATGTATTTGAATGTAGTCCCTTCAGCAAAGGCGTGAGAAATTGCCTCTGTTAATGGGTGAAATGAGAAGCAGGTGTATTGAAGCAGCCATAAATGCGATATGGCTAGGCTTTCTGGTCTGTTTGTCCAGCCATATAGGATCGTATAACTGGTACTTAAATGACTTTCTAGGATATCATATAATTTTCCATATTCGAAAAGGTTTCCTTTTTCCGAATAGATGAGTGTTTTTTTTTTCAGAAAACATTAGACAAAAACTTTAAGTGAGTTTATCACATTATTGCCTTTAATTGTTCAGGAAAATTAACTGCGGTAATTTTATGTTGCGGTCAGTAGCGGCCTTTTTTAAGGGGATGGGGGGGGGGGTCAGCGGAATTTTCTTCCCAAATGAAGGAGCATAGCATCAGGCCCGATCTCCGGAAAAATTTCTAGGATGCTGTGAGAGGGGGGGGGGGGGGGAAAGCGAGTGACTTATTTCTTGCTATAAAATCGCTGCAGTGCGATCAGTGTTATGGGGTTATGAGGGGGCGAAAATAACAAATTCTTTTAGGATTGATTGATCAATAAGGCAATAAAAAAGTGGTTTTTTTCTTATAATTTTGAATAAGTATTCATAGATTACGATTGAACTTCTACAGATTGTATATAGATTTTTGATTATTTTGTTGGCAAAAAGCAATTTCCGTTATGGAAAAAAGAGGCACAAAAACAAAACTAGATTGGCTGACCACCTGCAGAAGACATGCTTGCGTCAGCATGCCTTTTTTTGCAATGTATATGCACTAATTAAATCTTTCTAATGCAGAAATAGCTTTCCAAGAATTTTTTACCGTATTTGCACTTTGTGAAAGCGATGAACACTTTTTTTCTACTTTCTGTCTTTCACACAGCCATGTAATCAACTCTAGAAGCGCTCATTCTACTGAACTATACGAAAAAGCTGCAAGAGGTTAGGGCAAATACGTTGGTTTTTTGGCAAATAGCCATGAAAATCAAATAAAATTGGGTATATATGTACTATCAGAGCGTAATAGAGCATAATAAGAGCAGAATTGGAGCTGGGAATACACATATCTAGCTTCCGGTACATTGTAATGGAGTCAATGCACTGGTGGAGCCGAGTGAATTGCCTCGTGCCATAAAAGCTTATTGCCTTACAAAGAACTAGAATCTGATTGAACTTTACTCCCAACAATAATTTTCTATGATGTTTTGTGTGTGTGACGAATGCACTTTATGGGAGTTCTAAGGTATAAACAAACAAACACACAAAGAAAAAATATGCATAGTATTAGGTGGGATTAAAAGTTCGTTCGCCAGATTTTCAAAAAATCACACTTCCTTCGAAATCAGGATTGCTCTCGATTGGCACGAGTTTCACTCAACTGAAAAGAGAAGGTCACAAAACCCATGTTCATGGCTTCTCCGTCTTTTCTGTGACGTTTTTAGGAAAAATTGCAAAATGAAGTATTTTCCTTCATTTGCTTTTAACTCTCTATCTTTTTCAATTTAGTTCATGGAGAAGGCACTATAGTAAAGAGAAAATTTTCTCTGTCAAAAGAAACTTTCAGATTTTTTCATTGCTCTGCTTGAAAAACGAAAACCTTGACCAATTTCCTTACTCTCGAAATTATAACAATCTATGTTAGGGGTGCTGCTGTGTGATTGGTTTCCTTTTTCGACCAAAAATAAGTTTAATAAAAACTTTTGAGAAGAAAGGGAGTTAGTTTTTTTTAAATTTGCGAACGAATTTTGTCTATGTTAGGGGTGCTGCTGAATTTTGTCCACTCAATATATATAGATATATAGACGAAGACTGAAGTTTTAAGCAAATTTCCTTTCTTTACCAAAGAATGTGATTGGTATTCATGGAATTATGACCACTATACTACTTTTGCACCTAATTTTCATGGAATTGCTATTTATCGAATAAAATAAAAATAGATAAGCTCCTACAGTGGGTGCCTGTTAGCAGAATGAGAAAAATAATTTCAACTCATTTTGTTTTATTCAAGGGTCCAGCGTTTTATCCCCATCATTTTTAAGACTATCACAAACCGGAACCTCGATTTTTTGAGTTTGCAATTTATCGTGGTTTTTTACTTAAAACATTCTGCACACAAAATTTTGGTTTTGGTTTTTGTTTAGTTGTCGCAGTAAATGTAATGTAATGGGGGAACATTGGAGCTTCCAAATTTCAAATTGTAATGGCCCTACCATGAAAATCAGTTTATCTTTAAGATTACCAACTCAGAAAACATGGAACCAACAACAAAGAGTCCGAAAAATTATTGGTTGAATTACACCTCGTACATTATCAATGTGAATTTCACCCAAATTTCAATGTTGTACCCCCCCCCCCCCCCCCACCTCCTCCGCCTCAATTTCGACGAATTTGCGAAAGGTGGATTTTGAACTCAATCTTGACAATTGCGAGGCAATTGAGAAGGAAGCCTCGTTTTTATTTTACTTACTAAAAATGCTAGTAAATAGATCTAAATATTCAGTTCAAATTATGATTGTAATCATGTAATTTCAATTAAATAAGGGAAATTTTTGCCGTCATCACCAATATCACCAAGTAAGAGCAGTCACAACTTATAAAAAATCTGTACTGCATTGTTCTTCCAATCAACATTCTAGCATGAATAAAAATAACAATGTGATATAAATCAAGACGATTTTTGGAAGTTTTTGGGTGCGAGACTTATAAAGCGATCATATATCAGCACATCCTTAGTTCCAAATTGTTAAATACATGGGATTTATTAAGTAATCTGTCTAAGTCGAAATAAAAGATCAAATAAGCTAGGTTCGCTACTTTATGGATTGAAATCACCGTTAAGCAGGTGTTTGAACTCGTAATGAGGCTGAAAAGGTGCTTACTCGATGTTGGCGTTTACCCAACAATTCGTTCTAAGTGGTAAACAAGCTTCCAAGCTTGTTTATTTATATTCAGAGTCATATGAATTATTAGCAATGTTAGCGATATAGCTCAGAAA